ACAAATTGAGATTGAATGATGAAATTAAAAAAAATAAAACTTTACAAAAGGACTAAAAATAAAAAATAAAAAAATGAGAATGATGAAATTAAAAAAAAATAAAACTTTACAAAATGACTAAAAATAAAAAATAAAAAAATGGATCAAATTTGAAGGGAAAACAAATTGAGGGATAACTCTAAAAATTTAGAGAGTCGGTGTGAAATTCCAGAAGAAAAAAAAAAAGTTTTTTCAATACCAAACTAGAGGTCAATTTAGGATAAGTTTTGTCTAGATACAAAGAAACTATTAAAAGATTCAAACATTATCTTTGAAAACTATCATTTGGTCATGAGATAACGCCACATATACTGTTTAAAGACCACGGAGAACTCTTCACACGTTAACTCTTTTTTAAAGATATCTATTAAATATTCAAGTGTAAATCTGCCTTCCATCTTATTTAACAATAATAATTAAAAAAAAAAGGTTGAAATAACCCTTGACCTCTATTGTTTTTTTTATCTAATAGCATTTCAGTAATTTAACTATACATTTGAGATTGAATAGGCAAAAAAAAAAAATTGTTCTAAAGGCAACTTCATATTTTTAATGCTCAAATAATAAAAAAGACCCAACTACCTCCATCTATGAGGTCAAATTTGTATGTCATAAGAAGCAAAATCATTGTTTTACCATCGCAATTAACGTGAATCCGAGTCTCCAGTAAAAAAATTTGTTTTAAGCCCCTTCTCTTTTGTTATAGATGTGATTATCTCATGATTAATAGAAAAATAGTAAGTATTTGCAAGGGATTAGAAATTCCATAGCCATGCTGTCTGGTGGTATCACAGATGGCAAGTAGCCTTCGAAAAACCTGTGTTTATCAAAATATTAATTCAGTATATTTATTATTGAATGTCAAAATTACTGTATTTTCATGCTGAAAACAAGTATTTCTAAAGAATAATCAAAAGAGAGGTAGGTTCAAACCCAGCCCTACATCCAATGCGTTGAACTTCATTTAAGTGGGTTTACTTCTAGGGTCATGAACTGGCTAAGAGAGGCTCAGTTTTTTAAGGAAAAAAGGGCCTCCGCGAACGAGGCTAATTTGTGACCATTCCCTCACCCGACATTTTGCATTCCTGCAAGAAATCATCCATTATGATCTCAAAAGACTGCTTCCACAACAGCTCAAATTTACCAATAATCTCCGCAAGAACAGACCCCATCCTTGAAAAGGTGAAATCTATGCATATCACGAACTATAATTTCCCTCCCGGTGACGAGTGAAATATATTTTGTTGCATTATGACAATCGCCGCAGACTCGTAGATTTTTCCTGATGTGTATGGGAGTGCCTGTGCTCGTATTTAGCAGCCCAAAGGCAATTGCCAACTTCTCACTATGAGTATTCAGCAACTGCACCTTAACATCATCTTCCACGTCATGGATTGAATTGGTGTCGGGAACATAACCAGCAGCTCTGATCTCATCTACAAGTGTCTCGAGATAAGCATAGATCTTTTTGGATTGGGGATGGCTTGTAGTTCCGGAATAGAAACTGTGCACCTCATTCCCTATTTCCACTAAACTGCAGCCTGGAGTTTTTTGAAGCCCTGACTTCTCCATTATAGTTCTCACTTTAGCCACTTTGTCCCACATTGAAGCTGTGGCATATATGTTGGCAAGCAACACATGGTATCCGCCATCGTCTGGGTTTAACTTGAAGATTTCGAATGCTGCCTTCTCCCCTAAGTCAACATTCTTATGAATTTTGCAAGCACCAAGCATTGCACCAAAAACAGTTATTCCAGGTTTAATAGGCATCTTTTGAATGAAATCCCAAGCCTGGTTGAGTCGACCAGCTCGACCAAGAAGGTCAACCATCGCTCCATAGTGATCCATTGTAGGCTCTATGCCATAATCTTTCTTCATGCTTTCAAAGAAACAGAGCCCCTCTTCTACCAAGCCTGAGTGACTACAAGCAGAAAGGGCACAGAGAAATGTAATATCGTTTGGCTTGATGGTCCCCTTCTTCATTTCCTTGAACAGTTCTACAGAAGTTTTTCCAAGTCCATGAGTTCCATATCCATCTATCATAGCATTCCATGTAATCACATGCCTTTCATTCATCATGTCAAAGAGCTTTCTTGCTGTGTGAATGGCTCCACACTTGGCATACATGTCGACAAGAGCAGTCATCACAAAAACATTCTTGTCTAAAAACCTTCGAATAACAAGTCCATGGATCCACTTTGCCTGACGTGGAATCGATAACTCTGCAAGAGCAGGAATCACACTCACCATTGTGAAAGAGTCTGGCTTTATGTTTCGAGATTGCATCTCACAGAACACATTTAAAGCCTCATTCACACACCCATTCTGGGCATAGCCTAATATCATGGCATTCCAGGATACAAGTGTTTTATTTCGCAAATTTTTAAATATATCAGCTGCAATATCAACCCTCTTGCACTTGGAATACATGGAAATCAAAGAATTCATCACTGAAAGATCAGAATCAAGTTTCAATTGGTCCACTAATTTATGAACAAACTTTCCCCTCTCGAGATCACCTAGATCAGCACAAGCATGCAAAGCTCCCATAACAGTAACATTAGTTGGTTGAACCCCTTCATCCAACATCTTCTGAAATATCAACATTGCTCCCTCAGCATCTCCACTTTGCACATACCCATCTATCATGGAATTCCATGAAACAACAGTTCTATGATCCATCCCATCAAAGATTACTCTGGCAATACTCACTGACCCACATTTTGAATACATGTCCACAAGAGCAGTTGAAACGTTCACAAGTGACTCAAACCCAGCTCTCAAAACATATCCATGAACTGCCATGCCAATTCTCAACAACCTTGTATCCGCAACTGCAGGCAAAATAGAAACAATGGTGATTGAGTCCGGCCTATGCCCTTCTTCAGACATCCTCAAAACCAACATCAAAGCAGCCTTAGCAAACCCATTTTGCGCATAACCAGAAATAATCGTATTCCAACAAACCAAATCCCTCTCAGGCATTCTATCAAACATGTTATAAGCATCATTAATTTGTCTACATTTCGCATACATGTTCACCACCCCAGTCATAGCAAACAAATTCCACGAAAACCCACTTGTTATTACACTCCCATGAATCTCCTTACCCCTCTTAAGATCAGAATTATCTCCACAAAGTTTCAACAAATAAGTAAAATTATACACAACAGGCCTAACGCTATCATGCTTCATTCGAGAAAAAAACGACAAAGCACAATCTAAAGAAGAACTCTTTGCATACCCTTTAAGCATAGTATGATAAAGAGCATCAAACTTATCCTCAATAGGTTCAAAAACACGCGAAGCTTCAGTTAAATTACCATACTTACAAAAAAGACTAATGAGCTTGGTCTGAAAAAGGGTTTCATTGTAGATCCCATTTTTAATGATTTGAGGGAGGATTTGGTGAAGTTCTTTAGAGGAAGTGCAGAGTTCTAAGAGGATAGCGGCCGGGTGCTTGTATATGTGAGATGGGATATGGGTTCGTTGAGAGAGAGTGTGTTGAGCTAGTGGGCTAGCTTTGGAGGGAATTTGCGGCGGCGGGGTTGCAGTGAAGGGCAATAGGTGCGAGCTCATGTCTCTCAGGTTTCTTAAAGTCTCATTCTTGCTCGTTTCAGTGTCTGTGGAGGGTCGTGCAAGCTTTTGAATTACTCCGACCAATGGAATTATCAAGTTCAATTCTTTGAGGTGCCAATTCATTCACGTTGTGACTGGGTTCGCTATCCACAAGACCCTTTTTAATCCTCATTTTGAAAGAAGAATTTACGAAAGCAATTAATTTAAATATAATTAAGTTTTTCTACAAATCTATGAACATTGAAAATCATAATGACTATAAATCATTTTTTTCTTTCACATAAAACAAGTATGCATGTACTACTACTCTCTTGCTCTAATATTAAATTTAATAATTATGTTTGCACAAAGTCTTAGGGTTATAAAAAAAACTCGTTTTAAAAATGTTATTTCAATTTTAAAAGTTTCTTGGTTTCGTCCATTTTTATTTTTTTAGTTGCACTAATTATTTTAATAGTGCAATCTTAAGAAATATGCTGTTTATTTGTTTTATTTATTTGTTAAGAAATATGCTGTTTATTTGTTTTATTTGTTTATTTGTTTTTTTTAATTATGCTAATTTTTAAAATATTTTTTATAATCCTACTAAAAAAAACTCGATAATTAAAAAGCTTGGCGCAGATCATTTCACATCAAAGAGTTTCTACATCTAACTAGGGGCACAAAACGGTGAGCACCGAGTGGCGCAGATCATTTCACATCAAAGAGTTTATACATCTAACTAGGGGCACAAAATGGTGAGCACCGAGATCGCAAGGAAATCGCAAGCAACAGAAGCATAAACATATGTAAGCCTTTCGTTGGTTTACCGGTGGGTATTGCTTGACTTTATGTAAGCCTTTCGTTGGTTTACCGGTGGAACATAGTCACTGCAACTGACGGTCACTGACAGCAACCAGCCATTAAACATTAACAGCTGAAATAGAAGAAAACATAGATGTAATCAGAGTGATGTATCCCAGGAATATCATATGTGGAACATAGCAAATGGTAAACAGTGTGTGCTTGGGATGATGGAACTATGATGCAACACGTAACTAAATGCTCAGCTTCCCGGCATTTGCAAATTCCATGCCATCAACAGATCATAGAATGTTGTCATAATCCCTCTTTCTAAAACCCAGATTCTATCGATAAGAAGAATCCACCATGGGGCTCAAGCACCACCTGGCTTAGCCAAACATATCCCATAATCACCGTGCTGATGGAGATCTATAGGGAATAACAGTAGAAAAGCTCAAAATTAAAAAAGATGAAGTCAAGAATTTTCCACTTTAATGAATGAACACTGTAATATATATCATTGCCTTGGAATCTTATCTTATAGCTTAAGCTTTTGATTTGAGATGATTCTTTAACATACTACTAACAATAAATCTTATCACAAAAACAACATGCTCCCATATATTTGTAGTCCACATCCATTGAAAAATCAAGTCGAACCAATACAATATACATATATAACCTCACCTTCTCCCCACCCTTCCATCAATTATTTCCCCTTTTTAATCAACTATATATACCACCTAAAATTAATGAATTTCTATGCCTGCCTGTTTGACACGGATCACATGAAGGTGCACACGCACGGGCCTGTGCAATCTTAAAATATGACATTGCTTTCATTCCTCAAATAGACATGGAAAGCTTGATGATTATGGAGGAACTAAAGAACAAAATCATCTGGATTTCAACTGGAGGGTGTGGAACTTGAAGCCCCATGGTTCGGCTGAAGACTACATCAGTTGACCTAGCACTAGAAAAAACTATGATCACGTCAATGAATGCGCACATTCTTAGATCACTCAAGCTGAAATTATAACACAAGTTTGAGAAAAATCCTCATTACTAAAAAATTCAAGATCCCCCACAACCTTCTAGTTCAAGTTTCAAGCAACAGCAAATGGAAAACCAATGCAATATACACAGATGATGCATCCTCTATCTGTTTTTTTTTTATTCTTTTATTTTCATCATTGTTTCTCAATTCCACTTAGCAGGTAACTTTTGTTAGGAATGTGAAAAGCTGAATCATTTGTCTCAATATGTGCTTGTTTGACACCATTGCATCAATGCACAAACATGAACATGTGCGTTTATGTAAAAGAATGAAAAGAGAATCTGGCAATCAACAACATGATTTCATTAAGAACAAAAAATATAAATGATCACAGACATGGAATATTGACACAAAGCCAAAACATACAAATGCACTGGATTCTTAAATCATAAGCAGAAGGATGCCACAACATTAGAAAGACAATATATTTGCTGTTGTAGTCGGTTGCCAACTTGCATGAATGTCATCATTAGCTAATAATGCAATATTTATATAGTGAAACAGGCATACATTTGGTTTCCAGCCAGAAGTAAACAATCATAAAAGAACAGGGACATCTGTTTCTACGACCGAATTCATAATTTGTACAGAAAATGCTATAGCTCGAAAGGTGAGTTTTAATTATATACCACATCAATTAGTAAAGAAAAGCATACACTAATTAAAAAAATATATATATTATTATTTTCCTATCAACACAAAAGAAAAGGCAAAAAACTAAAATGGTATAGTTCTTCACAAGAACCTAACCTCACACTATACTGATATCCTTCCAGCATCTCCATAAATGCTACAACCCCGTATCGAATTCACAATCAAAACAATCACTCAGGTACCATAACGTGGTGCCCTGGCAGCCATACCAGCAACCTGAGCCTGCATTTGTGCAGCCCTAACTTTCGCTGCAGTGGCTCTGTTAAAAAACTGGTCTCTAGACAACAACCTCACATTCCTCAAATATTGATCAAATGGCATTGCCCCTTCTTGCACTGCTTTCTCCAAAGAATAAACCGCATCCTCAATTGCCATATCCACCGCTGTGCACTCCAACATCTGCTTCGACAAAACATCCACACACTCAAAAGCATTATCCACGTCAATATCCTCCGAGCCCCCTTTCAACTTCCCCTTATTTTCCCTAACCCATGCTTCCAAAACATCCGTATTCATCAAAACAACTTGCAAATGCAACTCCAACCCTTCCATCTTATCTCTCATTTCTTTCAACCCTTTATTAAACTCCTCCTCTCTCCCCCTCAACACAGATTGTGCGCTAAACCAGCTTTCCATCTCCGCCTCCCTCGTTTTACTCAACTGCAACATATCCCCGTGAACATTCTCCACAAGCTTATTAATCACATTTCTTTTATAAACCTCCGCTGCATCCTCCGCCTCCACCTTCCCCACCGCACCACCACTACCATATGGCGGATACTGTGGTGATCTGACAATCGGTCTCGGATACCCACCACCACCTCCCGTGTTACCCACTGACCCAAGACTCGATTGATTTGGATGATAATTGGGATTAGGGTTAGGTTTAGGGCGTTGGGAAAACAGAGGAGGATCCCTCCCAAAAACCGAGCTCAGCTCGCGAGCCAAATCAACCAAATTGGAACTAGGGTAGATCCAATTCTGCAAATAAGGGATGGAAACGAGCCCCGAGGGATTAACAAAAGGATGAGATCTTTTGATGATCATATCGCGTGTGGGGTTCACGTAAACACAAGGAGGGTGGCGAGGGTAAGATTCGATAAGCCAGATGATAACCGGGATGTTATAAGTGACAGATATGAAAGTGATCGGAACGGTGCCGTCAGCCTGGAGAAGATTGACGGTGCGACCATCGTTGTGAGTGAAGGTAGCGGTTTTGGGTTCGAGAGAAGGGGAAGTAGTGGTGAGTGAAAGAAGGTGTTGGCGGATGAGCCATTTGGTGTCTTCGGAGTAAGGAAGAGCGGAAGTGCCGCGTTGAGAGAGGACGGAGGAGAGGAATTGTTGGATTGCTAGGTGGTTTGACGACGGTGGAGGAACCATTGATGGAGGGGGAGAGTTTTCTGCTTTTTCTTGCTGGCTAAGGAAGGACAAGTTTCAAGCTTCCGTTTTATTGTTTTTCCCGAGGAACTGAAACTGAGGACGTTTGTGGGGGATGATGCTGTGTTTTTTAGTCGGATTGTTTTTTATAATATTTTTTATTTGTAGAAATATTAAAATATTGTTTTTTATTCTTCAAATTTTTATTCTTTATATAATAACAAAAAATTAATTTAAAAAATTAATTTTAAATTGAAAAAAAAACCAATTAAATCCCATTACCAAATATCTCTAGATAAGCGCGCGCGCGCGCTCATGTTATTATAGGAAAAATCCAAATTGCTGGATTTTCACTGTATCAGCACGCCAACGCCACTGTAACTGTAAGAGCATCTCCAGTAAAAAACGCTGGATGAAAGAGGTAAATGGTTAAAAAGGCATTTTGAATAGTGAAAATATATCTCTGTATCTATAACTACTTGTATAAGGGAAGGTAAGAAAGCAGGAGCTCACCTGACACAGCATTGGATTGCTTTTTCCCTTGAGGAGGATATTTATGGTCTTTGTTTCGTGGTGGAAAGAACCTCTAATGGCAGCCCTTCTTAGCTGGACCGACAGACCGCGTGAGACCCAGTTGCGGGCAATAGCGTCTTACCCTTCCCCAAAGACCAATACACAAGCGATTCGCCGTCGTCTAATCGATCACGGATGACACAGCCAATGACCGAGCTCACGGTGGGAGAACATCTTCGAGTCGATCCTAAACAGGGGTTTTTTTTTTTTTTTTTTTTTGAGGTGTTCGCTCCAATGACTATTTTAGCAATCCATTTATATTTTAATATATAACTAATGTACTTTAAAACACCATTAATTTTTCTCATTACCCAATTTAACCATTGTTTTTCTACATATTTTCAAAAATAAAAAGAATTAAATAGACGGGAATTAAAATGGAGTGACAGGAGAAAATGAAGGGCTATACAATAGAATGACCATTAAGGTTTGATCATTTTACTCTGAATAAAATTAAGAGATAATGCCATGGGTGACTTCAAAAGAATTGACGTGAAGGTTGTAATCAGGGAATTAAAAGGAGGCAAGCCGGGGCCATAAAAACTTTGACCATTTTACTTTGGAATAAAATAAAACAACAATTCTCTTTTGCTTCATCTTCTCCCTTCAGCTCACTCAACGCGATTTTCCGCTTGGCTCAAAACCACCCATGGCAGCCAACAAAATTTCCCTCCTCCACTAACCCAGCAGGGACTCCACAACTGGAAATGAGGGCTGTAATCTGGCAGGGGCTTCCCAAATTAGCTGATCTGGATCCCTAACAGCACACACACGACTGGAAGCTAAAAGGGAAGCTAATTAATCACCTGGGCAGGACTGGGACAATCAAAGGCAGCTTCTTCTTCTTCTTCAGGGCGAGGTGCTTCGAGATCTGATGGTGCTCTGTTTTCTCTCATCAGTTTTTAACGAGGAAGGAGTAAGTGCAGATAGCCGTTAAATAAATTCGTTAAGAAATATAAATATTAAAAAAGAACTAAAATGAAAAAGAAAATCAGTGGCATTTTCAAAATTAGTGTGAAAAATTCATTCTGGTCCTTCTAATTTCAAAATTTAAAGCTGTGAGAGGCTATCAATGAGTTTATTATGGTATATGGAGTTTTATAATTGTTTCTTTTATTTAAAATAAGTTAAAAGTTAATTTTTTGACCAAAAAATATCTCGATGTGACCCTTCATTCGCTGAATTCGAATTTCAAAGACTGTAGATGAAGTTATTTAATAATTAAAAAAAAATGAAAGGCACTTTTAATATATAAAAAATTAAGTGATTTGGTAGGTAAGCAGTGTCTTTTTTGGTGTGCCAAGCACGCTAACCCCCACGCAAACTTGATCTGTTTTGTTTTTATTCTTTTTCCCTTTTTTTTTTAATTTTTCCCTTGTTTTTATACTTTGATGAAATCAAATAGATTGGATAAAAAGTAATTTGATTTTTTTATTGAATATCATTGAAGTTCTATTTTATTTTATAAAATCATAGTTTTCTTTTATATATTAGCAAGAGCTCTTTCTATATAATTCTTCATGATTTTTTTTAAAAAATTATTCATTCTGTGTATTTTTTAGTAAAATATTGTTTAATCTTTTTTTCCCATGAGATTTTATAGCACAAGCCATGTTTTTTTAAGCCATGTGATTTTAACTCGGGATAAAAAGAATTACAGCAAAAAAAAAATATTAATCACTAAAGAAAGTACATTGATGATGACTACTTTTTTTTTCTAGGAAAAATTACTCAATTTATGACAAAGCACAAGCAAGTGGATTAGTATATAAATATAAGGTCTGAAAATCAGGAACATAATTTTAAAATTCAGTCCGGTATAACTTGACTAGTTAATTTAAAATTTAATTAATTTAAAATTAAAATCAAGTTAAATTAGAAAAAAAATCCAGTATAATCTAGTTGACCTAATAAAAATTATTATTATAACTTGTTGGCTTTTATTTTTTTGATTTTATTTAAATGATATCATTTTAATTTAAAAAAAAACTCAAATAACCTACTCAAAATCTAAAATTCAAACTTTAAATTAGACCGGGTCTAGAAATTAAGAAGTGGAGTGTGGTGACGCTGATTTTGTTTGTTTTTTTTTTTTTTTAATGCTATATGCCATTATTTTTACTTTGTTTGGAGTGGAAAAGTATTTTTGGCGGTGGATGTATTGGTTTAAGCTTTGCGAGCCTATTCATAAAGTTATAAAAAAACATAAAAATTATTATTGGTTTGATAATTTATTTAAAAATATTTTTTAGTTAAAAATATACTAAAATAACTTTTAGCATTAGTTTATTAAAATTACTAAAAAATATATAAAAAAATTGAAAGATGCAACCACAGTTCTAGTCACTATTTTAAAGTGTGTTTGGTTTTGCGATAGCTGTTGTGGTTGTGGTTTGAAAACAGTTGTTTTATAAAAAGTACTTTTAGTTGAGATTAATTTGAAAAAATAGATGTTTGGTTAAAACTGTGGTTGAAATTGAGGTTAAAGAAAAAATAATTTAATATGTTTGGTTAAAAATAATTTTAAAATTGAGTTTATAAAATAATTTTAAAATATATATATCAATATTGATGGTTTTAAATTTAAATATTGTAAAATTAATTACTCCTATTATATTATAAAATAAATAATACTTTATATAAAATATTATTTATTATTCTATTAAACTATTTATAATTCCATTACGTACAAAATTCATCCGATAAGGACTATAAGTTCCATGATTTTTTAAGCGTGATTTGCAAAACCCCGGTTTGATGGGAAAAATTATGGGACCCACTAAATAAAAAAGTGTTTTTTTAGGTTACCAAACGCTTAATTTACGCGGTTTGCTTTAAAAGCTAAAGCTACCGCGTAAACAAACACCTATTTACACCTATTTAGTTGTGTTTGTTTTTCATCAATTTTTATATTTGTGGTGAAACAAATGCAATCAAGTATTTAATAACAAACCAAATTGTTTTTTGTATTATGCAACTCGCTAAAAAAATAAGTTTGAAATATAATTTTTGTGTGGCAGTTTTTACATTTTTTTAATTAGATTTTGTAAAATATTATTTGTTTTTATGTTTTAAAAGAATTTATGAAAAAAATTGAATTTTTTTCTTTGCTTCAAAATGATATATTTTTTGTGTTTTTATATTATTTTAACGTGTTGATATCAAAAATAATTTTTTAAAAATAAAAAAAATATTTTGATGCATTTCGAAGTAAAAAACACTTTGAAAAGCAGTCGGAACTATATTTTCATCAAATATTTTATACATGTTTTTTGCTATACATGAACTTCAATCATAATTTTTACCAAATACATATCTGAATCCAACTACCATAGTTAACCATACTTTTTTAACTTTATTTTTTTAAAACCACAATTACAAAAATTACTTTAAAAACAAACATATTTTTAATTGTCTAAGAGTGTGATAATTGTTATTTTTCTAAGTATTTTTCTCTAAAAATTATATGAATTTTTTCATTTAAAAAAATTATATTTTTAAAAGTATTACATCAAAACAATTAAAAAACACAAAAATATAATTTCAAGAAAATAATTTTTTTGATAAAAAAAATACAAAACATTGTTTCAGCCATAAAAACAAACATCTCATAAATTTAAAAGATTTTAAAAAATAGATATTTAATTCTAGTTTAAATAGTAGCTCCACGTCCTTCAAAATGGATTTAACTGCCTAGTTGTTAGTGTTGTTAAGAGTGATTTTAAACATAATTTAAGTATAATCTCGTAAATAATTTAATTAATATGATTATCATAAAAAAGACACAGGCAAGAGACTAATCTAGTCATCTCAAAACTTGGTACCAGGTCCTCTTGGTAAATTCCCAAGAAGGCAACTAACTATTTACGGGCCTTCTCAGATTGAGAAAATGCAACCTTTAACTGATTTTCGTTCGCATTTTTTGTTTCAGTCTTCTATTTCTCAAAACTGGAGCCAGTGGGCTTGGGTCCAATGAGAACAAGACTGGGCTCACCAGCTCTTTGTAAATGGGCTGAAAAAGTTGGATCACAATCTTTTGTCCGAAAAGAATCGGATGCCTAAAGGCTAAAACCAAGAGCTCTTTCATATCCAAATCTAAAATAATGCCATTGCAAGATTATTTTTATAGGTATTCTGGAATTATTTCTCTGTTATGAAGCACATATCGTAAAAAACTAAGAGAAAATCAAGGTTGCTTAATGAATATTGATTTTCAACGTTATTTTCCCATTATTATTATTATTATTATAGCAAATCATAAGGGTTAGGGTCTGGTCTACTTTTTGTGCGAGATCCGAGATGTTCAATTCTATTTAAGATTCAATTCCTATTTTAAAAAATATTTCAATCATGAGAGTTGATTAACCTCGTAATTAAATCCAATCCTATTCAAAAGGTTACAAACAACCTATTAATATATGCTTTTGCATATCCACAGCGCACCTACTATTCTGTATAAATTATTTTTTTTTTATGTTTTTATAATTGTTTTAGTGAATTGGTATAAAAAATAAATTTTTAAAAAATATATATTATTTTAATATATTTTAAAATAAAATTAATTTAAA